GAGTATCACAAATGTTACTTATTTTTTAATCTACACTTCAAATTTAACCTGTGTTTTTATTTGCTCGGTTGGGCAACCCCAAATTGGTTCTTCTGCAAATCAGATAACCTGCTCCTCAGAACTGGGGGATTGATGATATTCTGAAGGCATATTTTCTGTGGTCATTTCCTTACAGTACATAGCAAAACATTAGGAAATAGGGACAGATGTAAGAAGAAAAAAGGATTAAACATTAGATGAATATAAATGGGATTGTGAGAACTCAATGAGTTACCTATGAAAGCTGTGAAATTTTTATGTTGCCAGAAGAGAGTGATTTGAACAAGATTCCAAAAGCTACCCAAAATTTAGCTTCAGCCAGTCTTCCAAAGGCACTAAAATGTACATTTTCATCCAATTTCTTGATTTGGCATTCTTAGCCAAGGTCTCCCATTTATCTTCCAACTATATCCTCTGGCTTCCAATTTTTTCCAGAAATACATTAAATAAAATAATTGTACTTGTAATCACAGAATATCTAGTATAATTTATCAGTGGTTTTTTGAGGAGAGAGATGAAAACATTTATACTTTTCAAAATAAAGTAGTTCTTAATTAAATTCAGTAATGCAAATGGCAAGTGGGTGCAGGGAAATAGGAAGCCGTCCAAGTGGTGACTTCATAGGCTATATGAAAATGAAAAAAATAAGATAAATCCGTGTTAGACAAGGAGCGAACACAGGCTTTGAAATACAGTTGAACTTACTGCAGCCTCTGTGTGAGATTCTCTGGAATAGAACCTAATGGGGTGGCTCCTTGCCTACTGGTTACATAGTTGAATGATCAGAGGGCTGACGTCTGACCCAAGAGGGACTAAAAAGTTGCCTACCTCTTGGAACCTAAAACTGAACTGCAAGACACAGAGAAGTTGCTGGGCTTAAACCTGACAACAGTGGCACTCTTAGAGAAAATATCAAGGAATATTTCTACAGCCATAATCCTAGAAGCTATCCTTACTATTGCATTTCTTCAGTTTTAGACTTCAGCTCTATCTTAGATTGCATGAACTAGTTCAGTATTTTTCCAACAGATGTCTGTGTGCTTAAGTTAGCAAGAGTTGGCTTTTGGGTTGCTTGAGAGCAAAAATTTGTATGACGTTTTGAGGTCACTTCATCTCTCATTTTGATTCTCATTCAATCAAACATGCCATATATTTTGTTAATTAGGAGACAGAGACCAGTGAATGAGATAAACACGAACTGTACTTCATAGCATTTTCTGTCTAGCCTAGAAAATAGATGCTGATAAAGTATGGAAATGGAAGGGTTTATTCGTTCAATAAACAAATATTGAGCACGTGTTATGCATAAGACACTGTCCTAGACCCTTGGAACATTAGTAAGGGAAGCAAAGATCCCTGTCCTTGTGTCTTTCAGCAGAGGATAAAAACTGTAAATACTAAACATAGAAATACATAAATAAATAAATAATATAACTTTAGAAGACAGTAAGTCTCATGGAGTAATAAACGTTAGATTAGAAGGAACAGTTTATCAAAAAGCCTAGAGACCAGAGAGAAATGGCAGGTTGGAGAAACTGAAGTTATTAGCGCTGAAATATTGACAAGGCCAGTGGCTCAGAATGACGATGAAGAGGTTAGCCAAAGTAGGTTGTTAAGGACTTTATAAGCTATTTGGAGGATTTCGAACTTTATCCTAGGGCAATCCACAGCCACTTAAGAGTTTTAAGCTGTAGACTGACATGATGAGATTTGCATTTTAGATTTACCATTCTGCCTGCAACCTAGAAAACACATGGAAAGCAAACAGTAGTGGATAGGATGGAAAAATTAGGAGGCTCTTGCCCTAGTCCAAGTGAGAAATGATCATGCTCTCGACGAGCATGTGTTTCAGGAATTGGAAGAAAGGAGCTGGTTTGAAATGGCTGTTACCAAGGCTTAGATTTTTAGCTTCTCGTATTTATAAATTGATGCCCATCCAGCTTTGTCTTCTGTCCTCTGGCCCTTAATGCTATATAAAGCCAGTTTGAAGTGTTGACCGCCTCATCACTGGCTACATCTCTACCAAGTTTAATTATGCCTCATCTTCAGGAACAAAAATGTATACTAAGCAACTATTTAAGGAGCTCTGGCAGCCACAGGACATTCATTCTACTCACTTGCATCCGTATCTGCCTACCCACATACCATCACCCTCAAATTCCAAGGAAACCAATACAGGATACAAGTGAACCAAGTATACACAACTCCTTTGCTAACAGGGCTTTCTGCCTAAATTCTTGTATTTTTTCCTTCTCATGATATAGAAGAACACCACGTGCTTCTTTTTCCACTCCACTATCAGGTCGAGAACAATGGTTACATGCTGGTCAGCAGTGGGTCATTTGGCCCCCTCATAATCTGTTATGACATCTTGTTATGCACATATAACATTTCTTTAAAGGAGGTAAAACTGAACAGTTGTTAATGGTTGGTTGCTGTACAGGCAATTAGGACTTAGCTATTTTCATGGGCATGTATTAAGTATATGGTCCCCCTCTGTAGTTATTTGAATTCTTAATTTCCAGCTTAGGTAAAAGTCCTCCCCTAAGTGGTCAGTTCCTTCTTTTCTTCGACCTGGGTCTAGCTCAGGCTCTTTCAGTCCCGGAGTTGTAGACAAATTACATCCCACCTTCAACCCCATTGCTTCAAGTTTTGCCAGTCCCAAATATAATAACTTTCCAAAGTGGAAAAGAGACTTCAGTTTTCTTACCATCCCTCCAAAATGTCCCCTCTTGTTCTCGTGGGAGTGAGAAAGAAACAGAAGTGCACCAGTACCACCCGTCTCCATGTTGGCACATGATTCCCTGTGGCACAACTGAGTGTCCCTGATTCTTGAGAAATCTGCCTTCCCTGTGGAGCGAAGGTGGTGGGATGGGGAAAATGGAGCTTAAGGACATGGATTTAGCAGTTCCCTTTGTAATGTCTTATTATACAATGTACTTTTTAAACATGGGTTCCCATCTTGTATTACTTTGTGTCTTGGAGTCTCTCCCTCATGAATTACTTTGCATCTTGTTTGAAGCAAACCATTTTAAAATTTATATCCTGTCCTACTTTCACTTCGAGAACTTTACTCAAAATATCTTTCTTTCTCCTGCCCTGCTCTGTTCAGCATGAACATTTGATGCATTTCACACTCTTTTAAGATGAAGAAAATAATATGCTAATCTGAATAATGGTAAAAACCAGTGCACAATAGAGATTTCATTCTCAAAAGAGTGGACCATGCATTATTATTGTTGTCAGTTATCTCTATTGTGAATATAAGTCATGCAAAAGACAAGGGATAGTCAAACAAGAGAGCAGAACATGAAATTGGGAGTATTCTCAATTTGATGGAGCCCAGCATGGTGGATGCTTGCTCCTTAAGGGCAAGGAACATGTTCTGTTCCCTTTTGTGTCCTCTGTTCCACCCAGTCAAGCACAAACATGCCAGTTACTCGGTCCGAGCTTAGATGAGTGGAGTTATTTGAAATTAATGATAAATACTTGGGAGACATTCAGTATTGTACTTAATCATGCTAGACATTACCAGGGATGGCAAAGAAGAGCTTTTGACCAGGAAGCAAGTGCTGGCTTACCTGACTCTCTGGAGCTGGTATGTGGACACACCCAAGGAAGGAAAAGTCCCAGGAGGGAGCTGCTAGAGGCAGACTAGAAATTGACAAGGGACCTCAATTTCGGTATGCATCAGACCCCCTGGAGGGCTTTGCAAAGCAGAGTACTCGGCTCACCGCCTGGGAGTTTCTGATTCCGTAGATCTGGAGTGGGCCTGCGAATTTACATTCTGAAAATGTCCCTCCCAGGTGATGTTAATGCCCCTAATCCAGGTAGCCCACTTTGAAAACTACCGAATTAGACCTTGGAGAGCTGTCTCTGCTGAGGGAACTGCTTATTTTGTGAGGGGCACCAGAGAAAGGGTGATATCAGAGGGCAACACCTAGATAATGTAAGTAAATGGACATCAGAATAGTTTCAAGGGTCTTGTTTCCTCCTGATCAAAAGGACTAATGCCTACACTGGCAGGGAAAGTAGAGAATGGCTCCCAGAACTCAAATGCGAGTTAAAATCAGCTGACATACAAGAGATGGGAAGATGGGATGCATGGAATCGACTTAGTAATACTTCCAGCTAAGTTACCCTACTTTAGCAGTGTAAGACCAGGTACATAGACCTAAGCTAATTTATATGTAGGTTATTCCCCCAAAATATTCTTACAGTGCCAGGACAGTTCATGCCCTTTAGTGGACTGTGCATACGCCAAGGTAAATGCAGAAGATGGAGGAAGGGAAGCCCAAGGGGAGGGGAAAGCCGTTCAGAGGGAGGGGTAGGAGAAATCATGCTCACCCCCACCTCACCCTTCGCACTCAGCTTATGCTGTCCCCCAGGTAAACAGCCCTGGGCGGTGTCCGAAACAGTGTCCACAGCTTCAGCAACCAGGTGTCATGTGGACACATTTTACCCTATTGCAATATTGAGACGGCAACTGTCGAAAATTTAGAACTGACTTCATACGCTTCTTTGTGACCAGCTAATTCGGTTTCTTGCATTTTAAAAGTTGCATGTGAAGTTTTTGCACACTTACCTGTGTTTCTTCTACATGAATCTTTATAGAAGGCAGTAATTATTTAATAGGACTTTGGGAGACGCTGACATTTTCATTACAGACTTTCACACACTCAGGTGCATTTTCCCAGTTTGCCCACAGAAACGAAGAGAGGTATCACATTAAAATAAACTCTGTCTAAAAAAAAACACTGAAGCATTTTGGTCACCAAATGGTCAGATGCTCACATTTAATTTTTGTTAATTTAAAAATAGTTTTAAAGAACTGCTTAGAGATCCTTTCAAGGTCACTCAGCTCGTGTATAAAAAGACACATAGAAATGGCTCCAGAGACCTTGGCTACACACCCAGAGGTCAACTATTTCACGGCTGCATTGCTCCCGTTCCCGCTGCAGGTACGTGGGACTGCGCTGCAGCTATGAGTGGGATTTTAAAGAGGAAGTTTGAAGAAGTGGACGGCTCCTCACCCTGCTCCTCTGTGCGGGAATCAGACGATGACGTTTCCAGCTGTGACAGTGCCGACAGTGGGGACAGCGTCAACCCATCCACTTCTAGCCATTTTCCCCGTGAGTACAGAGCCCATTCCTGAAGCTGACTTGTCTAGGTTCTATAGTCTTGTCTTTTTTATTTTAATCTTTATTACAGTTTTTGTTTTTTACAAGAGATAATTGATCTAAAACTAACTGTGATTAAGTCAGAGTGAAATATTTTTGAGACATCGTGGATTCCTTTATTAACATTGCTTTTGGCAATGGATTATTAGACAATGTTAGCCAACTGAGTCAATGAAAAAAAAATGACATTTTATAGGATTACTGTTCAAAGAAAGCATCCTAGTCTGGGAATAGATTGGGAAAGACAAGCCCAGGCACAAAAATCTATCCTCCCACAGTTGAAACAGTATTCTGGGAGGCCAAAAAGAAAAGGACATATTCGGGAGGCGAGGGCCAGGGTTACGACGGGGAGGAGCTTAGGCAGCCATGCACTGAGAGGAGCGGACCAAACTCTCAGGTGTGCAAGGGTACGCAGTTTATTTCTCTTTCTTACTCATCCCGCTAGTCCTTTACCCTCTAGAATAATATTTAAAACCCCCCAAAAATAAAAGGAGAAGTATGATTTCTCTCTGGTTCCTTTTTCTACTACATTGTAACATCAGTCTTATGATTTTATTAATGATTCTATAACATAGAATTGATTTTGGAAATGGAACAACCCAGAAAAAAAAAATCAGCAGTATTTTTTAAGAGGTAATAAGTTTCTCAATAAAACTGTTGAACACGAAACAAATATGCTAACCTCCACGGCATCCCTTTAAATAAGCAAAACTAATAGAAAATATAATGAAAGGGCAGTTACAATTATTATAGAAGAAAAATCATTGATATTCAGGGACAAGGTGATTCTGTGATGTAGGTGATCTACAAATGTATTTATATATTATGATATGAAATGAGCTTGTGTTTTGATTCAAAAGAAGATACTTGTTACCTATCACTAGTAATAGTGATTAATAACAGCATCAACATCTAACATGATATTTTCTGTTGTGAGGATGCAAGTGAGATGATACACATGAAAGAACTTAGAAAAAGGTCAAGAACTAAGCACTTGACCTGTTTATATTAAAAATTATAATCATGGCTAACATTATTGGAAAGATGCTAAGCCAATAGCTTTATATATATACATTATCCCTATTCTTAACAGCCATCCTGGAAATACCACTATCTGTAATTTACAGAGGAAATAAAAGGCTCAGAGAAGCTAAGCATCTTGCCCAAGATCACACAGGATTTGCATATATATATATATTCTATTCTATAGTCTTCACCTTTTCCATTATCACATTCTGCCCTTTAATTATATAATATTGGACATGTCTTAAAAATGTTATTTATTTTTTGTTATAAAAGATTACTTGAATCAGTGAAGAGAGGTTTTTTATTATGAACATAAAGCTTTCATCATTAATTTATAAGTTTAAAAGTATAATATTAGCAAAATCCTCAACTAGATTTTCTTAGAAGGTGACAGAATGATAACCTATTTGGAAAAATAAACTAATGAGAACTAAGGGATATTTTTAAAAAGAAGCTGTAATTGTTGAAAAACCATTCTGGATATCAAACCATTATAGAAAGTGATATAATTTCATATTTTTGGCACTGTGCTAAATCTAGGAAAGTAGAGAAAATCTTAACATATTATATACAAGAATTTACTATATCTAAGAGTAAAGCATTGCAGAACAATGGAAAAGGGAAGGAGCATTTAATAAGTGGTTGTGTTTAATTAGAGTTTGAGAAAGAAATAATTTAGATACACATCTCACAACATATGCCAAAATACAATCCAGATGGATTAAATAGATAAGTGCCTTATTTTAGGTGAAATCCTGGGGGAAGTTTCATATCTGTTAGACATTTGGTAAGATCATTATCTGAGCTTTGAAGTTACAGGAAAAAGTCCCATTGCAAAATACTTAACATATTTAATGACATAAAAATATGAAATTTATCTGCTACCAAAAAAAAAAGCCTAAAGTAAAAATGAAACAATCTATATTGGAAAAAAATATTTGCAGTTAATATGGTATATGGTTATTTTCTAGATAGAGTATTAAGAACACATACAACTGTTTTAGATAAACAGAGACACATCACCCCAGAGACAATCCATGTAGTAGAAAATATGATTAGCAGGTATTTTAAAGTATTTAACAACAATAATAATAGCAATATAGATTTAAAAAATACTAATGAGATCCCATTAGTGTGAAGTCACAGCAATTTCATCTCATGAAATTAGTTTTCCTTTCACCAATAAAAAATACCAATACCTAAGTTCTGGTGAAGGTTACAGTGTAAACCATAGGTACATACATTGCTATTGATGGCAGTGAAATTTAAGAAGCGCTTTGGAAATACAAGAGCTATAGTAATACTCATATCTGTAAGTCTGTACTTCAGATACTTTATCTGAAGGGGGAAACATCAAAACCAGGGGAAACTGCATAAATGAAAATGATGGTGGTTAATGGTAGTACCAAAAAATGGGGGTTGGAGTTGGAGGAAAGGAAAGTAATACGTCCGAGAGTGGGGAATGATCTATTAAGTTATAGTAACTTACACAATCTGTTTATTTTCATGGTAGTTATGAAGACTTGATTGCAATATGTAAACTGTTTAAGAAATAATGTTAAGAAGAGAAGAACATAACATTTTACTTGTTATCAGGGAAAGTCTATATGTATGTAGGAGGGCAAAGAATGGTAAGGTGCCCTAAACACTGAAAACGATTTGATTAGTTGAGGTATAGGAGTGATAGCGAATTTTCATATTTATTCATTTGTATTTTGTTAATATATTACATATCCCACAACAAGTAAGTTTTAAACTTAAACTAAAATGATGACTGTAGTCCAGATTGTGTTTATGTATATAAACAGCCGATTGAAGTGGCACCATCAGCTAAATTATGCAGTACGTCAGCTAACGAGTAAAGACTTCTATGAGTTACGTCCAACAGAAATTGTCTTTCCCATTGCAAAAAACAGACATGTTTGATGATATCCAAGGAGTTACTGAAATGCGTCTGCTTATCATTTATTGTCAGTGGTAGTTGGCAATAGTTGGTTTGCTAAATTGCTGATTTAACTTTGTATTAAACAAAACCTGGCAGAGATTTCTTCAAAGATAGTTAAATGATCGATGTAAAAAAAAGTGCCCTTGTCACATAGCAGTTTGCTTAGTTCACCACGTTCATATTATGGAGAGAGAGGAGAGTAGGAGTAAAAAAACAAAAGCACAGAAAAAACGAAAACCAAACTATTAAAAGATGAAAACTGCCTAGAATATTTACTGTATCAAAGATATGAACATGTTAATCAATGTGAGAGGAGTAGTTCAAAAGGTTTCTTGTTTCTCAAAATGCATTTTAGATGATTTGCTAGTCCAAAAATTGAAGCATAAATTTTTAGAAAATGTTTTATTAATTTTTTCATCTAGATGAAAATACGCACTTATTTGCAGTAGTCTTAGCTGCATGTGAACTGATGAGCATAAACTTTTGGAAGTGTTCTTATTGATGACCCCTATTTCCTTAATAGATTTTTCTATTTTCAAAAATAAAAATCATTACCTGAGAGTAAAGAAGGATTTTTAAATGACTATCAAATTTGGGTAGCTTTAGGAAGCCAAATTTAGGTCCACACTGAGTTTTTTAAAAATATGATTATTTAAATCTCATCATGATCTCATCTTTCAAATGAAAACTATCCCATATACACAGTGCTTTATATGCACACTACTGGGTAACGTAACATTTTTGTTACCATATAAATAAAGAAATTGATAACGACTGGTACGTGTTAGAAATGTTAAGAAGAGAAGAACATAACATTTTACTTGTTATCAGGGAAAGTCTATATGTATGTAGGAGGGCAAAGAATGGTAAGGTGCCCTAAACACTGAAAACGATTTGATTAGTTGAGGTATAGGAGTGATAGCGAATTTTCATATTTATTCATTTGTATTTTGTTAATATATTACATATCCCACAACAAGTAAGTTTTAAACTTAAACTAAAATGATGACTGTAGTCCAGATTGTGTTTATGTATATAAACAGCCGATTGAAGTGGCACCATCAGCTAAATTATGCAGTACGTCAGCTAACGAGTAAAGACTTCTATGAGTTACGTCCAACAGAAATTGTCTTTCCCATTGCAAAAAACAGACATGTTTGATGATATCCAAGGAGTTACTGAAATGCGTCTGCTTATCATTTATTGTCAGTGGTAGTTGGCAATAGTTGGTTTGCTAAATTGCTGATTTAACTTTGTATTAAACAAAACCTGGCAGAGATTTCTTCAAAGATAGTTAAATGATCGATGTAAAAAAAAGTGCCCTTGTCACATAGCAGTTTGCTTAGTTCACCACGTTCATATTATGGAGAGAGAGGAGAGTAGGAGTAAAAAAACAAAAGCACAGAAAAAACGAAAACCAAACTATTAAAAGATGAAAACTGCCTAGAATATTTACTGTATCAAAGATATGAACATGTTAATCAATGTGAGAGGAGTAGTTCAAAAGGTTTCTTGTTTCTCAAAATGCATTTTAGATGATTTGCTAGTCCAAAAATTGAAGCATAAATTTTTAGAAAATGTTTTATTAATTTTTTCATCTAGATGAAAATACGCACTTATTTGCAGTAGTCTTAGCTGCATGTGAACTGATGAGCATAAACTTTTGGAAGTGTTCTTATTGATGACCCCTATTTCCTTAATAGATTTTTCTATTTTCAAAAATAAAAATCATTACCTGAGAGTAAAGAAGGATTTTTAAATGACTATCAAATTTGGGTAGCTTTAGGAAGCCAAATTTAGGTCCACACTGAGTTTTTTAAAAATATGATTATTTAAATCTCATCATGATCTCATCTTTCAAATGAAAACTATCCTATATACACAGTGCTTTATATGCACACTACTGGGTAACGTAACATTTTTGTTACCATATAAATAAAGAAATTGATAACGACTGGTACGTGTTAGAAGCTATGGAAGT